CAGCTCCTCTTTAAAACTGAGAAGATTTGGCAACATGTGGTTCATGTATCAGTTTTCTGTTGCTGTGCTCAGATTACCACAAATTTAGCAGCTTAAAACAGCACACATTGAATAGCTCATGGTTCTGTAAGGCAGAGTGCAGGCAGGGTATGGCTGGGCTCTCTGCTAAGGGTCTCAATGGCTGAAATCCATGTGCTGGCCAGGATGTGTTCTCTTGAGGCTCTGGAGAAACATCCACTTCCAAGTGTATTTCTGTCTTCAGAACTCCCCTCCTTGTGTTCCTCTTTGAGGCTGAAGTACTGCAGTTCCATTTTGTCGCTGGCTGTCAGCCAGGGGCTGCACTTCACTTCTCGAGGCCACTCCCATGTCCTGCCATGTGGTCCTTCCATCTTCAAAGGGAGCAGTGGAGAAATCTCCCTTGAGTGAAATCCCTTTCTGACTTCAGGAAGCGCCTACTCCCCTTAAAGGGTTTATCTGATGAAGCCAAGCTCATCCCAAGTGAATCTTTCTGAAATTCCACCAGGCCTCCTCACCAGAACATATGGAGCAGGCAGGAATGCCAGCAGTCTCCAGAAACAAATCTGGTTCTGGGCTCCATGCGGTGGGCTGGGATGAGTGTTGTGTGCATGTGCCTGGAAGAACGGGGGTCTCCAGGCAGGTTATGGTCTTACAAAGACACGGAGCAGCCTAGAAAGGCCAGAAGGACAAGAGGGCTGGCTGGAGAGACGTTTGTGTGGGCAGAGAGAGAAGACTGGGGGTGCAGGAGGAGGTGAGGGCAGCCTATTTTGACTGCCTCCTCTTCACTCTCCTGCCTCCTCTTCACTCATGCCCTAGGGTTATGGGGATGGTGGACACTCAACACCTGGCCCTGGACAGGTGGGGACCATGGCAAGTTTTCAGTCCTCATACCCACCACCTAGGCAGGAGGACGCCACACACCTTGCAGGGCCTCTCGAGAGCAGAGTGAGCCAGCAGGGGATGTGGGGGGCAAGATTTGTCCTAACAAGAGAGTGGGGAACTCACCCCGCCCCCATTCCTGACTACTTACATAATTCCACAGGGTGGCGGAAACTGAAGTCTGCTTCTCGGGGACGTGGAGGGACAGTGCCTGCCCTGAGATAAGGACGCTGTTGGACTAGGAACCTCGTCCACAGGAGCAGAGTCAGGAGGGGAATGTACTGCTCCCAGCATCTTACTCTCTCCAGGTGTTGAGGCAGCACTTTGTAGCTTTAGGCCTTATCCTACCTTTGACCCCTTGATGCCTCGATGCCAGCTTAAGCCTTGGTGGTGACTGAGACTTTCAGGGAACAGAACAGCCTCTCCAGGAAGCAGTGTAGGCCCTTAGCCAAGAGAGAGAGGGCCACGTGGTGCCCTTAGAAAGTATCTGCTTTGTGGCTAGGAAGGGCAACAGAGGGATTTGGTGGCCTGGGTATGAGGCCACCTGGGGGGCTTGGATCTGGCTTAATCAGTGCCTGTGACAGTGGTGACACCCAGTGAAGGTCCCTTTGCCACCTGTCACTTCATCAGAGTTCTTTGAGGGGCCCGTGTGCCTCCTGTTGACCCTGGCTGCCTGTGGCCCACCCAGGAAGTGGGGGTGCCGCTGGGTACTTCCTGCAGAGCTGGCGCTCTGTATTTCTTTTCTTTTTTTTGAGACGGAGTTTCGCTGTTGTTACCTAGACTGGAGTGCAATGTCACGATCTCGGCTCACCACAACCACAGCCTTCTGGGTTCAAGCAATTCTCCTGCCTCAGCCTCCCAAGTAGCTGGGACTATAGGCACATGCCACCATGCCCAGCTAATTTTTGTATTTTTAGTAGAGACGGGGTTTCACTTTGTTGACCAGGATGGTCTCCATCTCTTGACCTCGTGATCCACCCGCCTCGGCCTCCCAAAGTGCTGGGTTTATAGGCGTGAGCCACCGCGCCCGGCAATGCTCTGTATTTCAAGAAGGAAATGAGGGCCTTGGCCACCATCAACAGTGCCTGAACCTTAGAGGATCAGGAGCAATTGGCTGAGGCCTTGTGTTGTGGCTGTAGTATATGTGTAGGCATTTGTAACCCTGTTTTATGTTTTGTGTGTTAGTGAGGCAGGAAATTCCCAGAGCTCTTTGCACCCAAGTGGGGCAGCTTGAGGCCCTGGGCCAAGAGCCTGTGCACAGGTGCAGAGGGAGCCGCCGGCAGGCCAGGGTGCCGATGCCGTTGATTGCCTGATGCTTGGCCACTGTGCTGACCCTTGGAGGTTTGCTCCTTATAAGGAACTTTCTAGTTAAGATGGAAAGCAGCACCCTTCCCCTGAGTTCCCTTGCATATTACGTGGCAGCACCCTCCATGAAGCCTACAGCACCCCCCGCCCCCCGCCACCGTGAACAGCCAGCCCATCTCAAGGGGCCTTGGGTAGCCAATGGCCCCAGGGAGGGGTGACTCCTCTGGCACCATGGCATCTGGCAAAGGACTGAGGACAAGGGAGACCACCCTTCTTGCAGGTGGGATATACCAGAGGGCCCAGGTTTGACTCTATTTTTTTTTTTGAGACAGAGTTTCGCTGTTGTTACCCAGACTGGAGTGCAATGGCACGATCTTGGCTCACTGCAACCACCGCCTTCTGGGTTCAAGCAATTCTCCTGCCTCAGCCTCCCGAGTAGCTGGGACTATAGGTGCACGCCACCATGTCCAGCTAATTTTTGTATTTTTAGTAGAGACGGGGTTTCACCTTGTTGACCAGGATGGTCTCGATCTCTTGACCTCGTGATCCACCTGCCTCAGCCTCCCAAAGTGCTGGGATTATAGGCGTGAGCCGCCGCTCCCAGCCTATTCTATTTTTAAGGAGACCTCAGTAGCTGTACTGAGGTTGGGAGTGCCGCTTCTGAAGGCATAATGGGCAGTGGGTGTGGAGGGTCACAGGCACAGCATCTGTGAGAGCCTGTGCTTCCAGGAGAGCCCAGCATGTGGCCAGCAGCTGCTTCTCTAATAGTGCACAGTGCAGGGTGGAGGAGAGCATTTCCCTGGATCCGCAGACCCTAGACAACTTATGGCCATCAGCCTCTAGACTCCAGGGCTTGAGGGAAGGTTGCTAACGCCCCCTCTTCCATGAAGGCGTTTCTAGGGGCACCAATAAGAGTGACTGCTGATTTTAACTTGGACAAATTCTAGAACCTTTTGTTGGAGAAGCCCATTTGAGTTGGGTTGCTTTGCAGATGACACCGTAAATGGGCACAGGTAAATTTTGTAGATGAGAAATATGTTGCTTCTAGAACCCCAAAGAACTACAAGATGTGGGAGACTTATATTAATGTTGTGGGTGCTGAGAGGTTTAATAGCCTTGTTGCAGAGTTGGAGATGGAATGGCTCTCAGTTTACCAAATAATTTTCAGGAGTTTAACTAAGGTGCCAGGCCTCACACCACATGTGGGGTGATGGCCGCCCTCTTGTTGTGAGTGCCTTTGTAGGTTACTTATATGTCCTTAATGAGTGTATCAGAGGAGCCTCTGTGAAGGAGGCCATTGTCAGTGTAATGGAACTGTGCTCCTGAGAAAGATGGATGCAGGGGAGACCTTGGCTGCATGACTGTGTGTGATGGCAGACTTGTGGAGGTCCCTGTGGGGAGCCTGGAGGGACAGGGGCCCCAGCCTCAGCTTTCATACTTTGAAGTCGAGGACTGGACCTGTGCTGTCTGAGTTTGCCCTGGGGTCTGGGCCATCCTGTGGTTTGCGCAGAGGTCTTCGAGGGCCCTAGGGACAGACTGACCCAGGACTGAGCCTCTGGGGAGCATGGGGGTGGCCAGGCTCAGACAGGCCTGGTTTGTCTTCCAAGGGGCACATGTGCACTCTTGTGCTTCCTGGCATTTAGAAGAGTGGGAAATTCAGATATCAGGCCTTTCTTGTCCATGGGAAGGATGGCAGGTGCCTGGAGCCAGGCCTGTCTTGAAAGCCAAGGGCTCTGGGCCTTCCTCCTCCAGTTCTCTGTTCCAGGCCTTCAGTGCACAAAGTGCTCCCCTCCTGGGATCTCTTTAGGGCTCCCCAGGATGCAAACAGGACAGGGATTAGGATCCCACATTTGAGGAAACCAAGGTCCAGAGAGGAGAAATGACCTGCCCAGGGCCACAGGACAGGGCACACCTGGGTTTTAACTGCAGGCTGCTCCGAGCCCCATCATGTCAGTTTGTCTCAAAGTCAGGCTTGGCAGGGGGGTGCAGCACTGCCAGGACCCCTATTCTTCCTCAGGGTGACTGGTCAGCAGCCCTGCTTTTTGAGAGTCCCTTTCAGCAGAGAACCCCTTATTTGAGTGACCAGGAACAGACCCCTGAATATCTTGGTGGTCGGACTATGGAGTTTATGGGCTTCTGGTGCCAGAGACCTGATGCAGGCAGTCAGCTAACCTCTGAGCACCTACTGTGTGCCTGGTAACCTCTCTGTGCTGGTCACATCACAGGAGCAGGAGCCCCTCATGGTGCTGTTAGGTCCTAACTCAGATTAACAGGTCAGAGCCCCCTCATGCCCTGAGCCCCTGGACACTGGCATTTGTGTCTGAGAGGGGTGGGAACACTTCTCTGTAGGAAATGTCTTCAGCCCAGGATCCAGGGGTGGGGGGAACCTTGGCCATGGAGGTGGGGTTATTCCTGCTATCATGGAATCAATGTGGCTACAAGGCTTGGGCAAGGGACTCTTCAGCTAGGCCTGCTCAGGAGAGTGATGCTTCCCTCATGTGGAGGTTGGGTTGAGGGTGCCCCTGCAGATCACCAAAGAGCCCTCTCCAACACAAACCCAAAGTGGGAACCTGGGGCATCTTGGCAGAGAAGGGACCCAGCCCAAGCTTCCCCTTCCCCTCAGGCACCAACTGCTTCTTGCTCAAGGGGTCTCCAAGGCCTGGGGACAGAGGGAAGGTCTCGGAGGGCTCTGGGCAGCAGACTGGCAAGTGGGGAGGCCTGGAGACTAGCTGAGGCAGGCAGCCACCTAGGCTGGCTCTGGGTTCAAACATGAGAAAACCAGTCTTGGGCACAGTGGCTCATTACAGAAATCTGTTTAATGGCTTAGGAATGTGTACACTCTGGCCTCTGCCAAGTTTCCATAAAGGCAACTTTTCCATGTTTTAAAAAATAGATTTGGTATAAAGATTTATATATTCATAAATAGGTGACACGAAAAATTACCAAATGCAAATGGAATCCTTGGGCTGCCTGAGGCCCTGCTCACCCCAAGTCCAGGCCCTACAGGGGTCTCAGGGTTCCTGCTGGAGGAGGCCCCAACTCCCGCAGCCTCTTGGGGAAGAGAAACTAAAATTCAATGTGAATCAGGAGCCCCTCCAGCTTCTTAACCCAGTGTCACACCAGCCCCACCCAGGTTTCAGCCCACTCCCCTCTTCTTCCCTAACCACCTCCACCCTTGCCCCCCTCCCCCTGCACTCTGGCCCCTGACCCCACCTGGTCCTGCTCTTTCAGCAACAAAGGAAGAGATGACACTGTTCTCCTTCCCCACCAGAGCCCGGGCTGCAGGGAGAGCCTAGCCTGCCTAGGGGAGGAAACAGGCTGGTTTTGTTTTGTCTCACACACTTCCCCCATCTTCTCTCCCAGCCCAGTCTTAAGGCCTGGAGGGGCAGTGGGGCCCCCTTCTGGTGAGATATGGTAGGGCAGGAGCCCCCGCAACCCCAGGTACAGGTCCTGAGCCCCTGGACACTGGCGTTTGTGCCTGAGAGGGGGTGGGAATGCTTCTCGGTAGGAAATGGCTTCAGCCCAGGATCCAGGGGTAGGGGAACTTTGAGCATGGGGTGTGTTGTTCCTGCCAGGGGGTCCTAGGGCAAGGCCCCAGGGTGGGGCCAGTTCTAAGAGCTGTGTCCAGCTGGGCCATCTGTGACCCCAAATGGCATGAATAAAAGGGCAGGTTGGTAAGGGCCAGGGGTGGGCATGGAGCAGGGAGACCAAGTTGTCTTAGGACAGAGGTGCTCCAAGACACAAGGTGCTGGAGTGAAGCCAGGAAGCGCTATGGGCTTTCAAACATCTTGAGGGCCCAGGCCTGCCACAGGGTGACCTGGGCAGAGAAGCCCAGAAGACAGCAGGGTGCCCAGGTGAGAAATCAGGGCCTTTCTGGAGTGGAGGGAAAGGGGGCACAGTGGCAGCAGGGAAGGAATGTGGAGTCCCAGGTGAGCCTGCCTTTCCAAGCCAAGCCCTTGGAGTGAGGCTGCTCCTGCCTGGGTGGTGAGAAATGAAGGTGGTTCACAGTCCAAGGTGACAAATGAACCCATCATGGTCAGCTACCGTCCCTGTGAAGGAAGGAGCCGGGGTGGAGGGCCCTGTCCTCCCTCTCTCCCTAAGCCCTGAGGAAGGTAACACCTCCCAGCCACCCCCCAACCCACCACTGAAGCCCCGGCCTGGAAGCAGAGCCAGGCCTCTCAGAGGTGGGCAGCGGGTGGTGGTGGACAGTATAGGTAACTATGCTCGGATGGCTGGGACTTGCCCTGGAACTAGATGAAATTCAAACCGGGAGGCCCAGGCCTATGCCTCTTCTCCCAAGACCCTGTACATACTCCCTGCTCCCCCCAAAACAGCAGAGCTCTGCAAGGGTGGGCTTCATGTGACTTCTCTTCTAGTGTGGGCCTGCAGTGAAAACCCAGCTCAGCCCCTCCTGACCATGTGACCCCAGGCACATCCAGTCCCAGTGGGGTCTGAGGGCACCTCTCAGTGCCAGGCACTGTCTGCCCTGCAGGCAGAGCCCAGGCCCCACTCGGCTCCCCTCTCACCCCTACCACAAGCAAAGCTGCTGAGGAAGGGAGCCAGGCAGCCTCACCCCCTCAGTGCAGGTGCTGGCCCTCCAGCTCCTGGCTATCTTCCTCCCTTGCAGAACCAGGCTAAGCCAACCACAGGTGGCCTCCCTGCCCGAAAGGGAGCCCAGCAACTGAGATGCTGGCTCCATCACCAGCATCAAGCCCTGCCTGCCTCAGTCTCAGCCGGGGAAGCCCTGTCCAGGTGCCAGGCTTGCCAGGAGAGTGCTTAGTGCAGAAGGCAGGGAGGCCTGGGGGAGGCCTCTCACTGGCCCAGGGACTGCACTGATCCCTGCCTGGGAGCTGGACCACAACCCAATGCAGCCCTGCCCATAGGTCTAAGAGTAGCTTATTTCTGGAGCAACCATGCTGAGGGGGCTTCAAGGCAGAGCTGGGCTGACGGAGGACTGGGATTGGCTAGGGAAGATCACCTGGCCCCTCCAGCCCTGGCCCCGGCTCTCTCCTCACTGTGATCCCTCTGAGCCACACGCCCAGAGAACAATGCTTCTTCCCAGATCCTCCCTCCCATTTGTGCCTTCTAACCTTGGAGCCCAACTCAGGGTGAGATGGTTAAGAGCCAGGAGAATAAAATGGGCCAAGCCGAGGACTGCCAGGGTCTCTCCTTTTTTGTGTGGAAGACTCGACTCTATAAAACTAGACTGGGACCCGCATACCACTGGCAGGACTTCTGCTTGTGGGGTAAGGTTGGCTGCCCTGCAGCACCCTCTCATCCTGAGCCTCAAGGATGCTAGCTGCTTTTTTTTTTTTTTTTTGCTTTGGGACAGTGTCTTGCACTGTTGCCCAGGCTGTAGTGCAGTGGCGCTACATCTTGGCTCACTGCACTGGGTTCAAGCAATTCTCCTACCTCAGCCTCCCAAGTACCTGGGGGAACAGACTTGTGCCACCATGCCCAGCTACTTTTTTTTTTTTTTTTTTTTGGTATTTTTTTTTTTTAGTAGAGATGGAGTTTCACCATGTTGGCTAAGATGGTCTTGATCTCATGACCTCGTGATCCGCCCGCCTGGGCCTCCCAAAGTGCTGGGATTACAGGTATGAGCCACTGCGCCCAGCCACTACCTTCTACTTTGACCTTAAATGTCCACTTCCCCGTCTTCCCCCACCCCCCAGCCTTCTGAGTGCTGGACTGAAGGATTAGCTAATTTTGCAAGCTGAGTGGCAAAACACTGGGCCCCAAGCCAGCAGACAGTCCCCACCTAGCTATGGGCTGTGACCCCATGCTGTGCGTATGAAAATGAGAAGCTATACGGAAAGCCAGAAAACTCAGAGGTCCTGATAAGGCAGCCAGCCAGGCCCCAGGGAGGTGTCTGTGAGCACTGCACAGGGAGTGAAGGCAGGAAGCAGGTACCCTGCCTGGAAGGGGCTAGGGCTTCCCTGGAGCTGTACTCAGGCACCAAGTCTATGGGTCTCATGGTTCTTGCGCCGCTGCTACATGTGGAACCCCAGGATGGCCTGGAAGAACCCAGGGCACTAGCCACATCCCTGGAAAGCAGCAACCTGTTGCCACAGGTTAAGCAAACCCAAGAGAGGAAACAGCCAGCAGGCGTGGGACAGGGAGGACCACTGGCCCCTCCTACTGTGGCACACACCGGTGGGCTCAGGCCAGTCCTGGAATGTAAAGATCGTGGAGGGCCAGCTGCTGGATGGCAGGTTGGCCCTCAAGGGTACCCTGCTTCCCCTTCCTCAAGGGGAGCCTCCATCCCACAGCCAGGCCACAGGATGCAGAGCTCCAGGGTTTCACCCAGCTGCTCTAGTCACCAGTGCCTGGGAGGGCCGGCTCTGGAGGGCTGGGCTTGGCAGGCCAGGGAGAGCAAGGAGGTGGGGAGCCCCCAGCCTGCCGGCCCAGCCACCGGTCAGCACCCGCAGCCCCAGCCTTCTCCGATGTCCTTGCTGTTCAGCTGGATATGGTCAGGGTTTCTCTCGCTGAACAGGGGGCCTCCGTGCCGCATGATGAGTTCCGTGGCCACCCTCAGGAAGGCCTCCTCCACGTTGCTTGAGTCCTTGGCAGACGTCTCAATGGCACACAGAATGTCATAATGCTCGGCAAGTCTCTGTGCCTCAGCCTGGGTGACCTCCCGAAGCTCGCTGAGGTCTGACTTATTCCCTGCAGAGGAAAGCCAGGGGCAACATGAGGCCATGGGGGCTAGGCAGCCCAGTCCCACCTGGCAGGGCCACACTGACAGCCCCACACCATCCACTCCCCTCCACCACTACTAATGGACACCACTGAGTGTGGTCATCTGTCTTTAAAAAACCTTTTTAGGCCGGGTACAGTGGCTCATGCCTGTAAACCCAACACTTTGGGAGGCTAAGGCAGGAGGACTGCTTGGGTCCAGGAATTCAAGACCAGCTTGGGCAACACAGTGAGACCCATCTCAAGTTACCCAGCTCCTCCTAGAAGGTATGAGATGTCTTCATTATGTTCCAAATAATCTGTTAAATTGTTCCTTAACCCAATTTCTAGAATATGGTTGACTTTTGTAATGTGGTTATAAGGAAGACAAAAAAAAAAAAGAGTATGGGCTGGGCATGGTGACTCACACCTATAATCCCATCACTTTGGGAGGCCGAGGCGGGTGGATCATCTGAGGTTGAGAGTTTGAGACCAGCCTGGCCAACATGATGAAACCCCATCTCTACTAAAAATATATATATAAAAAACTAGCCAGGCATGGTGGTGGGGACCTGTAATCCCAGCTACTCTGGAGGCTGATGCAGGAGAATCATTTGAACCCAAGAGGCAGAGGTTGCAGTGAGCCAAGATCACACCATGACACTCCAGCCTAGCAACAAAAGCAAAACTAAAAAAAAAAAAAAAGTCTGTAAAGATCTAAAATTCCTTGGTAACCTTAATTGACGTAGCAACCAATTTCAAAGTGTGAAACTTATTTGGAACCTGGTCTTAACAAACTGGAAAAAATAAAGCACATATGAATTTTATGAGCAATTAAATCTGAATACGAACTGGCTATTTGATATTATTAAGTAAATGTCAGTATTTTTAGATGAGAAAATAATATTGCTGGTTTTTTTAAGTGTTTACATATTTTGTAGGTTCATGCTAGAATACTGCCAGGTAAAATAGTTTGATGTGAATTTGTCTCAATAATACAAGGGGAGGAGGTGACATGGTACAGATGAAAGGAGGTTGGACTTGAGTTGCTAATTGCTGAAGCAGGGTGACAGGTACCTAGGGGCTCATTATTATACTATTCTAAGCCAGATATAGTGGCTCACGCCTGTAATTCCAACTACTTATAGGTTAAGGCAGGAGGATTGCTTGAGGTCAGGAGTTCAAGATCAGCCTGGGCAACATAGCAAGACTGCATCTCTAAAAATATATGTGTGTGTATATATCTATATATATGTATGTATAAATAAATACATAAAACACATTTTTGTAGCTGTATAAAATGTTTTATAATAGAATGTTTTTTAATTGATTTTTTTTTTTTTTTTTGAGTCGGAGTTTCACTCTTGTTACCCAGGCTGGAGAGCAATGGCACGATCTCGGCTCACCGCAACCTCCGCCTCCTGGGTTCAAGCAATTCTCCTGCCTCAGCCTCCCGAGTAGCTGAGACTACAGGCGCGCACCACCATGCCCAGCTAATTTTTGTATTTTTAGTAGAGACGGGGTTTCACCTTGTTGACCAGGATGGTCTCGATCCCTTGACCTCGTGATCCACCCGCCTCAGCCTCCCAAAGTGCTGGGATTATAGGCCTTAGCCACCACGCCCAGCCCTAATTAATTTATTTTTTAGGAGACAGAATCTCCCTCTGTCACCCACGCTGGAGTGCAGTGGCGCAATCTGGCTCACTACAATCTCCACCTACCAGGTTCAAGCGCTTCTTATGCCTGGCCTCCCCTATAGCTGGGATTATAGGCGTGCACCACCATGGCAGGCTATTTTTGTATTTTTATTAGAGACAAGGTTTCGCCATATTGCCCAGGCTGGTCTTGAACTCCTCAATTCAGGCAATCTGCCCACTTCGACCTCTTAAAGTGTTAGGATTACAAATGTTAGCCACCACTCCTGGCTAGGATATTTTTCAGAAATGTTCTGAATAGATCAAGCACGGTGGCTCAGGCTTATAATCCCAGCACTTTGGGAGGCTGAGCCAGGTGGATCATGAGGTCAGGAGTTCAAGACCAGCCCTGTCAACATGGCAAAACCTAGTCTCTACTAAAATACAAAAATTAGCTGGGCGTGGTGGTAGGCGCCTGTAATCCCAACTACTAGGCAGGCTGAGGTTGCAGTGAGCTGAGATAGCACCACTATCCAGCCTGGGCAACAGAGCGAGACTCTGTCTCAAAAAAAAAAAAAAAAAAAAATGTTCTGGATAAAAGGGAAATGGTTAGGCCAGGTGGGGAAAGCTCCATTCCTGCCAAGCTCCATCTCCCAGTCCAAGCAGGCTGTGGAAGGCAGGCCACATGGAACCAGGCACCACCCTCTTCCCAGCTAGAGTCAGGTCCAGGCCCTCTCTGTACATTTGAGTCAGAAGAATCAACCTGTTGGCCCAGCTACTCGGGAGGCTGAAGCAGGAGAATTGCTTGAACTGGGGAGGTTGCAGTGACCCAAGATCTCACCATGGCACTCCAGCCTGGGTGACTGAGTGAGATTCCATCTCAAAAAAAAAAAAGAATCAACCTGTTGGGGCAAGGACCCCAGGGATAATATAAGGGCTAAAGAGCTTCTCCAGTCTAGGTCTGGGAAGGTTATATAGAAGGAAAACAGAGGTAAACAGCATCCTTTCATAGCAGCAGTTCTCATAGTGGGGTCCTTGGATCAGCAAGGTGGGTGTGACCTAGGAACTTGTTAGAAATGCACATTCATGGGCCCTACCCAGCCCTCCTGGACCAGACACTCTGGAGGTGAGGCCCTGCAGCTGCACTTGAAGAAGTCTTCTGCAAGATGCTGAGGCACACAAGCCATCAAGTGTCCCTGCTCTGTGTGTGGCATAACAGAGAAACCCATAGACTTGAGGTCAGCAAAAGCAAACTCAAAGCCTACATGTGTATGCTCATAGGTGGGTGGACCCAAATAAGTTACCCCACTTTTCTGAGCCTAGCCTCAGCCCCTGTCAAATGAGAAGCTGGGGTACAAGAAATAAACTTTGACACATGTGAAAACAGATGAGGTACAGAGCATATGGAAATACGAGAATTGCAGAGCAAACTTCAGCTTTCTTTCTTCTTTCCTCTAACTACAAATCTGAATATTACTGTATAAGTGATTAATGGGACCAGGATTTGCAAAACCATGGCTCAAACTCTGGCTGGGACTCTCTCTGGACTCAGGCTTACCCTGTGTTTAAAAAGCAGAGGGAGGCAGAGATAGGCAGAGTAATGGGATTTGTGGTCCTGAGGAAACCCTCACTCACCGATCAGCAGCTGCACAATGTTGGAGCCTGCATACTTCCTCACATCGCCGATCCAGTGAGGCACTGACAGGAAGGAGCTCCTCTTGGTGATGTCATAGGCGAGGATGGCCCCATTGGCACTGCGGTAGTAGCTCTGGGTGATGGTGCGGAACCGCTCCTGGCCAGCTGTGTCCCAAATCTGCAGCTAAAGAAACAGGGTTCCTCAGTGAACCCAGTGGCACAAGCTGAACATGGGGACAGGCAGAGCGACTCCATAGACCCACACCCAGAGTCATGGTTCTACTGGGCTAGGAGGTGCGTACACACACACACACACACACACACACACACACACACACACAGAGGCCTTCTGAGCCCTTAGAAAGCAACTCAATGGCCCAACCTTATTGAAAAAAGGATGCCAAGGGAAGGTGAGCAGCCCCTGTCCTGTCCCTCTAGGGTCTCCGGGGAAAGGTGGAGGAAGGGGTATACTCTGAGCTGGCCCACATCTTCTGTGTGCCCCTCTCCCCTCACCACTGGGCCCACTGCTGGGAACACAGAACCACCAGAGCTCAAGCGGCCGGCGGCTGGAAAGCTGGCTCCAGGTGTGCTGCACGGCCGGCAGCGCACACAGCCAGGTCCCCTCCCCTCCAAGAGCACCATGTACCCAGCGTGTGTGAGGCTCCTCCAGCGTTAGGGTTCCCTCCGGACTGTACAGCTTGGTGATGACAGCTATGGGAAGGGTGCCTGGTGGTGACAATGGGCAGATACCTCCCACAGAGCCTTTAAGTACAATGCAGTTTCTATCAGCTGACCCATCTTTGCCAAAGCAAGGAGCTTGGGGGACTTTTCCCACCCATGTCTTCATTTAACACCCATTCCACCCCACCTCCCACCAGATGTGGGCTGTGGAGGAGAGGTAACTGTTGGCAGGTGGAGCTTCCCTAGTGTCTTTTAGAAGCAGAGTCTGGCAGGATGGACACCAGGCCAGTCAGGGGCAGAGGCCTGTGTGGGGCCAGGAGGCCGCCCACTCTGGGCAGAGATCATCACCTGTGGGCTTGGGAGAGCCTGGACTTTGGGCAGGCATCCAAGAGGCATGTGCTGGGACTCTTGGTGACCAGACACCTCGAGGGATTGGGTGTGCCTTCTCTGCTCTACCAATCACAGGTTCTCTTGGCTCTCTGAAGACAGACAATGTGTGTGCTGAGTTGCAGGTCCATCAGCACCCTTTGCAGGCACAAACACTTGGGTGCCTCTTTACCTAGTTCTCAAGTATGGAAGAAAGGTCTTTCTCTCAAGGTCTGTCTGGGGTAGGGAAAGACCACAGAGGCCCAGACAGTTCCTGAAGGCAGGGCCTCTGTCCCTCGCACTGCGGAGGTGACCACCATTTTCCCAGCCCCAACAAAGAGAAGTCTGAGAGTTAAAGCTCTGGGCCCTTTCCTGAGTTGTCCCATTTACTCGTCAATGAGTGGCTCCAAGAAAACTAGACCTATAGTTCATGCATCTAGCAGCTCACACATGGCAGCATAGGGTGAAGTGCAAGGTTTATGTGTGTACCACACAAGCCTGAGATCCAGACAACCTCTAGTGTGAAGAGTGAGGAGAACAAGTAGCAAGAAAGACACAGGCCAAACAACAGCAAAAGTGCAACGCGGAAGAAACAACACAGAGGCAAAGTCCTCAATCGATCATCAATATGTTAGAAATAGGGAAACACCCATGAAACAAGAAAAGAATACTATCTTTTTTGGTAAGGGGTATTCAAAAAGAAAAATAAGCTCAATTAAAAATATTATGACATAAATGAAAAATGCAACACCAGGGTTGAAGATAAAGTTGAAGAAATCCCTCCAAAGTAGAGAAAAATACAAAGAAATGAAAAAAAGAGAAAATAAAATTATACACTGGGCACAGTGGCCCACGCCGGTAATCCCAGCACTTTGGGAGGCCGAGGCAGGAGGATCACCTGAGATCAAGAGTTCGAGAACAGCCTGGCCAACATGGTAAAACCCCATCTCTACTAAAAATACAAAACTTAGCTGGGTGTGGTGCTGCACACCTGTAATCCCAGCTACTGGGGACGCTGAGGCAGAAGAATTGCTTGAACCTGGGAGGCAAAGGTTCCAGTGAGCTAAGATCATGCCATTTCACTACAGCCTGGGTGACAGAGTGAGCAAGACTCTGCCTCAAAAGAAAAGAAAAGAAAATTATAGAACCAGCCTAGGAAAGCAGGATAATCAGAGTTTCAGAAAAAGAGAACAGTAAAATCAAGGAAAGGAAATCAAGTATTTCAAGAAAAGTATCCAGAATTGACTGAGGGGCCCACCAAGCACACACAGAATGGGGCAGAGCAGACCACACTGCATCCATCCATGGGTAGAAATTCTAAAACAAGGCAAGAAGAATGAACACAAAACCCATGTGGCATTAGATAGCCAATGAAATAATGCCTTAAAATGAGGAAAAAAATTATTTCCAACCTAGAGTTCTCTACCCAACCAACCAATATTCAAGTGTGAGGGTTTAATAAAGGCATTCCCAGGCATACATTCCTCAAAAAATTCACCTTCTTGGCACCCTTCCTCAGGGAGTGACTAAAAGTTTCTCTATCTAAAGAAGTCAACCAAAAATAAGAAAATATGGAACCCAGAAAACAGAGAATTCAACTGAAAAGGGAGGCAAAGGGAGATGCCAGGATGACGGAGAGATCCCAATATAAAACCTGAGCAGCAGCCTAGACATCAGCCAACCTGAAGCTAGTCAGAGGGCTTCTGGAGCAGCTTCCAGCCATGGCAGCATCGCTGGTGGCAGAGTAGCCTTCCCTTCCACACACAACCACAGGACTGGAGAAACTATATAGAAGCTGTTGTTTTGGGAATGTAGACAAGCAGCACGAGACCATAACCCCTAAAAGAGGCAAAACTCATGAAAGGCACCTCATGATCATCGCAATGCTCTACCTGGGAGTTTTCTGACTATGGGGCTAGAATCCATGCAGAACACAGTGGTCCCACTGAGCTGAGGAAACAGAGATCAGGGTCTGGAGCAGATGATGTGATGAAATGAGGAGTCATACATAGGGGGAGCCCAAAAGTGTATGTGAGGTGTCCCAGTGAGCCCTTGACCAGAGAGTGCCCCCTCCAGAGTTGAGAACAGATCAGAGATAGAGGTTCAGAAGTGCTAGGGGATGTTGAAGTTCCAAGCCAGACACAGTGAAGAGGCCTCATTAGTGTCTCATTAGTGCCTTGTATATGAGCTGAGCTAGCACTATGAGTGACCATGCCTTAAGAAAGGTCTCCATAGACCTGCCGTAACCAACATAAGTCTTAGGTTTGGAGGTTGAGTTCTGCCACATTAGAGAGGCTGAGGAAACACCTTAGTCTTTACATATGTCAACCCTAACAAAACATAAAAATAAGCCTAAACAAACAAGTTCAAGGTGACGAGCCAGTAACTGAATTGACTAGGACAAGAATCAACACTCTTCTAAAGAAGATAACAGAATCCAGAGTCTCATTATCAACCATGATTTCCAGATACTACTAAAAATTGCTAAACACGCAAATAAATAGGAAAATATGAACCACAGATAAGGGAAAAAGCAATCTATAGACACTGATGCCAAAATGGTTCAGATTTTGCATTTAGTAGGCTTTAAAGCAGCTATTTTAAATATGTCCAGAAAATTATAAGAAAAGCATGTTCAAAGAATTAAAGAAAAATATGATTATACTGAGTGGACAAATATGGGATTTAAGGAAAGAAATTATTTTTTAAAACATTAAAAAATGTTTGTTAAACTATTTATTATAAAATTACTGCCAGGTGTAGTGGTTCACGCCTGTAATCCCAGTGCTTTGGGAGGCTAACACAGGCAGATCACTTGAGGTCAGGAGTTCAAGACCAGCCTGGCCAACATAGTAAAACCACATCTGTACTAAAAATATAAAAATTAGCCAGGCATCGTGGTATGTGTAATCCCAACTGCTTGGGAGGCCAAGGCACAAGAATCCCTTGAACCTTGGAGGAAGAGGTTGCAGTGAGCCCAGATCGTGCCACTGTACTCTACAGTTCTGAACAAAAGAGTGAGACTGTCTCAAAAATAAATAAATGTGTGTGTGTGTCTGTGTGTGTGTGTGTATAAACTTAAGTTTTTAATGACTGGAAATTCTAGAACTAAAAATTATATTAAGTGAAAAAAATCAATGGATAAGCTCAACAGTGGATTATAGATGGCAGAAAAAAAAAATCAGTGAACCTGAAGAAAAATCAATAAAGAGTTAATTTGAGGAAGGGGAAAAAAGATTGAAGAAAATGAATAAAATTGCAGGGATATGTGAAATAATACCAAACTGTCTCATATTCACATAATTGCAGTTCCAGGAAAAGATAGTGATAATGGGGGAAAATATTCAAAGAACAAATGGCTGAAAAATCTCCAAATCTGATGAAACACACTGGCTTAAAGATCCAAGAAGCTCAGCAAACCCCAAGCAGAAAAAATACAAAGTACACCAAGGCAGATCACCGTCAAACTAACAGAAAACAAGAATAAAGGGGAAATATGAAAAGCAGTCCAATAAAAGTTATATTCCATATATAAGAACAACAATACAAATGACAAATAACTTCTTAGAATAATGGAGGCCAGAAGACAATGCTGAGAAGTACTAAAAATAAAAATAAAAAAAGTGCAGAAAGAAAAAACTCTCAACACTGAAGTCTGTCAAACAAAATTTTCCCTCAAAAGACAGGGAGAAATCAAGACATTTCCAGATAAATGAAAGTAAAGAGAAGCTCCTTGGAAAAAAGCTTCCCAGCAAGAAATGCCAGATGGCACCACCACACTTGAGACCTTATTTCAAAAGAAGAGTTGGAAGTGGCTGCCCTAGGGTAGTTGAGGGTATCCTAAGACCTTCTGGTACCAAGCCTTGAAGAACCAAATGACTCCTCAAACCATACACAAGTGTAAATTTGCTTAAAATAAAAACTAAATGAGCTCCAAGCCTGATCTGGTGCTTTGGATCTATTTCCATCAGTCCTTACAGCTAGTCATCAGACCCCAGGAGCCAAGATGGTGAAGCAGATAGAGAGCAAGGTTGCTTTTCAAGGAAGCCTTGGACGCCGTGGGCAATAAACTTGTAATTGTTGACTTCTCAGCCACGTGGTGTGGACCTTGCAAAATGATCAAGCCTTTCTTTCATT